GATTGTGGGTAGGAATTAGGATCAAATTAACGTGTGTACAATGCGAGATCCTATTATGATTGTGGGTAGGAATTAGGATCAAATTAATGCGTGTCACTGTGAGATCTTATGGGTAGGAATTAGGATCAATTTAATGTGTGTACAATGCGAGATCCTACTAAGATTATGGGTGGGAATTAGGATCAAATTAATGTGGGATGATTGCTGGGATCATTACTTCAAACATGGTGTGAATCTTATTTTTTTTAATATGAAGTTCTTTTTTGATCCTCRTTGATATCAAGTTAGTTTTGAAAGGTGCTTATTGCTGCTTTATGCCACTCTATCGACTGGAAAAAGATTCAGGGGATGTTTGGTTATAGGTATTAAGCAGAAATTAATGTGATTCAAAATAAAAGAAAGTGTTTAGTTTTATAAAATATAATGGGCCTGTTCCCCTATAGGCCAAGTTTTCATTCCAGGTTAACTTGGTGGGAATTTTCATTCCCAGTCAATTTCAATTTTCATTTTCATTCCCATTTTTATTTCTTTGGCTGAAACAAACAGTCCCTAAGAAGATATATAGGCTTCTCTTGCTAAGGGCTGTTCGGTTCATTTTCCATTAGGTTTTGTATGGATATAGTTGTCTGTATAGCTGTCTGTGTTGCTAAAGTTGTCTGTATGTTATGATATAAATTGTTGTTCGGTTATTGTAYTGAATAAACTTTTTGAATGTCAGAAATGACCGTTTTACCCCTCAGTGTAGCTGAAGCGAATAAGCTATAACCCTTATACAGCCCATTAAGCTCCTTCGGAACAGCCCCTAAGTGTTGCTTTCACTTACTCCTATTCATGAATTTCTATCTTTTTCTTGAATTCAGTACYTTGGTCATCTAGTTTGATTTCCTTTTGTCAATACATCATCTTAATCTAACAAAGACACACTCAGGGGTTGCTTATTCCCTGCTTACAGCCTCTTACTGGGTCAGAGGTGCTTACTCGGTTAGATATGATGCTGTTCTACAAACCCCTGTTACCGGTCCATGATGCTGACCGAGATGCTAACCTGGTAAGCTATGGGAGGGACTCATAGGGCATGTTTGTTAGCAACTTAATGAGACTTGCAGCTTTTTCAGTCAGCTATATATGATTGTTTGGTAGTGGCTTCTAGGAGGGAGTTTTATGCAGAAAAGGTTTTTTTTCCAAACCTGCCCCTCCCAATTAAAAAACACCCTCCTTCTATCTATGAAAAAACTCTTCCAAACAAAAACTTTCCCAATCTATACGGACAGATTAATTCACACCTAAAACTTCATCCATAAAGGACCTAATGGAAAACCAACCAAACAGCCCCTTACTTTGGTATCAGTGTTGACCTGGACAGTACTCTTACCCAATTTGTGTTGGTAAACGATCCATCACTCAAGAAAGTTTCGTATGTTTTTTATTTAGTTATTTGGAACTTAAGTTCTTGATAGCATTCATTCCTGGCTCGTGGCTTGTGGTTCATGTCTATCTACTTCTTGTCACACTTCCACGAGATCAGAACTCATCGGTCGGGTTTATCTTATCGAGTTTCATATCGTGTAGTTTGATAGCTTTATCATGTATGTCCATATTCACTCATTGACTTTTGACAGTGTTTTTTTTCGGTTGAATTGTCTACATCTTATTAGCTATGGCAGCTTTTTGTTTGCAGGGATAGAACTTAATGATGATGAACTCGCTAGTTTTGTGGAGCGTGTCGACAAAGATAATAACGGTATTATAACTTTTGAAGAGTGGCGAGATTTTCTTCTTCTTTATCCTCATGAAGCAACTATTGAAAACATCTACCAGTATTGGGAGCGGGTATCTCTTGTAGATATCGGAGAACARGCCGTGATTCCGGCAGGCATCAGTAAGCATGTTCATGCTAGCAAATATTTGATAGCCGGTGGGGTCGCCGGAGCCGCTTCCCGAACTGCAACGGCTCCGCTTGATCGTCTTAAGGTGTTACTCCAAGTTCAGACCTCTAATGCTTCAATCGGGCCCGCAATTAAGAGCATATGGAAGGAAGGTGGGATTTTATCCTTTTTTAGAGGTAACGGGTTGAACGTTGTTAAGGTCGCCCCCGAGAGTGCMATCAAGTTTTACACTTATGAAATGTTCAAGGATTTCATTGGAGGAGGAGATAAGGATGATATAGGGACTTCCGGGCGGCTTCTTGCTGGGGGGATGGCAGGTGCCGTTGCACAAACTGCTATTTATCCGATGGATTTGGTGAAGACTCGTTTACAAACTCATGTTTGTGACGGTGGAAAGGTTCCGAGCTTGGGGAAACTTTCGAAGGATATATGGGTTCATGAGGGGCCTCGAGCTTTTTATAAGGGGATCATTCCTTCRCTTCTTGGAATTATTCCTTATGCCGGAATTGACTTGGCGGTCTACGAGACCTTGAAAGAGATGTCAAAAACATACATTTTTCTTGATAGTGGTATGAAACCCCGTTTTCGTTTTTCACTATGCTCTCATGATATTTTTGGATATTCGGTATTGCATTATGTAGCCGCTCTACTCTTTTGAGTAGAGGACATGTTTGCATACATCCTACCTCCCAGATCTGTGGAATTCTGTATGATCTCACCCCAGCCGCCCTATTCTTTGGGGTAGATGATATGTTTGYCTACATCCACCTCCTATACCCTACTTCCGATTGTGAGATTTTTGGATATTTGGACTTAAACTTTTTAAACAACCRCTCTACTCTTTGGAATAGAAGACATGTCTATGTACATCTCACCTCCTAGACTCTAYGTTCGGTTTAGCTATACCGGGTCATTTTGGTTTGGTCTTGCATTTTTTRACTCGATGTTCTTTTTTGTCTTGTAGAACCGGGCCCTCTAGCGCAATTGGGTTGTGGAACAGTTTCAGGGGCCCTTGGAGCCACATGCGTGTACCCATTGCAAGTTGTTCGGACAAGGTAATTACTCGTTTCCTCCGCTTGCATCCTCATTGTAGCTTTTTGCAAAATCGTGAACTTATGAATCGYGTCCTTCAAAAAAAGTTTTCTTGAAGCATATAACATTTATGTACAACAAACACTCGCACACACCACGTTTGGTAACGCCCTATAACCCAAAACAGGTTGACTCAATAACCTCCAAGTAAATTTCAAAACCATGGTAGAAGTTGCTGATAGCCCACAACTTTCAGCTTATAAAGCAGRAGCCCACTATGGTGCTGCCATTGCTTYGTTCCTCCGTCGTAGTGTAGAATTTTTTGGGGTCGTGAAAGGTGCCACCGTATTATTTGTTGGGTGCAACCATATATTCCTTAAAACAATGATAATAACATAAKTTTTTCTTGGTAGTTGTTGGTTTGCATGGTCTTTTCACCCCTCCAGGCGCGGGTTTGAATYGCATTTGTGTCATTTTCTTAATTTTTAGTTTTTAATTTCAGGTTTATTATGTTTATGATTTTTTTTTTGGGATAAAGACTCGAACACATGATGTCACATACAAAAAAGTAAGGAACTAACCAACAGACCAATGATTATTTTTGTAAAAGCATATCTATAGCTTCGTTTGTGTAGTCAAATGGTGCCACCATTTGAAAAAAAWTSTAGGTCCGCTTMTGTTATAAGGAACTCACAATTCTAATATCATCCATCCATGTGRGCAGCGTCCAAAAAGGCGTGCCATGGYGCGATATGGTGCAAGACGCGTCTCCGCCGTTACGAAATGGCCCATAGYRTTTCTGTAAGATGTGGCTCAGGCCATGGTGTCTTGAGGCGCGTGTTTCTTATWACACGTGATATTTTTYTMATTTTTAATTTTTTATCTTTTGTGTTCTTACACTTTTAAGTTTTTAGATTTTACATTTTTATTGATCTAATTAATCACATCACTCACAGTTTCACGGTTAAAATGAAGTTGTAAAATTACCTTTCGAAGTTMTATTTTAAACATTTAATCAAAAACATATTTTTATCATAATCTATATGATTTTTCTTCTTCTAATATGGATGCATATCTTTTTAATATCATTATYTGATTAGATAATATATAGAAAGCATATATCTATATACATAATTCTATATATGACATACAAATTTGCCGCCTTATGTCACGGCTTGAAAAACGCCCCCTCCTCGCCATGGCATGTAAGGCTTGAACTCGCCGTCACGCCACCTTGCATGTGGGTGCGGCTTGAACCCGTGATCTCCATGGAGGCTAGGCTCTACCCATGATCTGTTAGAAGGAACTCACAAATCTAATATCATCTGTTTTGTCCAGTTATGTTTTACCAAATGCTGAACAACTCTGTTCTGTTTGGATGCCATACGCACGCTTAAAACGTTGGCAAGATGATTRTGTTTTTGTTGTCGGTTTCAGGATGCAAGCGAATCGGCCAGGTAGAGCCGGTGCGTACAACGGAATGTCGGACGTGTTCATGAAAACATACAAGAACGAAGGGGCAAGAGGTTTCTATAAAGGGCTTTTCCCAAATCTTCTCAAGGTTGTACCTGCAGCCAGCATTACATATATGGTTTATGAAGCAATGAAAAAGACACTAGATCTTGAATGACTTAGAAATAAGAAACTAGTCCCAATGAACCCATTGTTCAAGTTACGTTTTATCGATCGATAGGTGGTGTTATAACAACTTCCCACTCGGAATTTTCTAACGAAGAAGTTGTTTTTTCGAGGGGTGTACCTAGAGTGTTGCAGCATTGTTGTTCGATGTATATGTTACAAATTTGTTGTACTAGGGTTATGCCAGACTCACTGATTCTTTGTTACATCAATACATGTYGAATTGTGATTATTATTCTTGTTTCGGGTAATCGTTTGATCTTTTTTGGAGGGGCGACGGTGGGTTTTCCGGGTAGCTTACGTGCACCGATGACTGTTAGATGTTTTTTTTGAAGTATATAATAYTTATATACGACAAACAGAACAGATAAACCTACACGCCATTCTCATCTTTGGTGAGGTCTGAACCCCAAACCTTCTAGGAGGTCAAAGACTCGCATACCGTTAGGCCAAAGACCCTTTGGTATAATTGTTAGATGTTGGTTTCATGGTTTCTAGTATTACGGTTTGCACTGGGAAGTATTTGGGATCAACTTATGTATACCTTGACTAATCTAATGGATTCCTGGGATAACATGAAAATTCTCAATAACTTTGAGGTTTGTATGATGTGTTTGAACATGCTTGATGATGTCAACAATTTCAAAGAYGATGAGGTGGGATTCAAATAGATTATGGACTCTCGACTAGGCATGGCAACGAGCGGGGATGGGGCGGGAATGCAATCCCCTGCCCCGACCTCAGTTCCACTATCTCATCCTCGGCCTCGGTCCCTGGTAGGTACAGGGAATCGAATCCCCTCCTTGTATTTTGTTGGGCCTATTCTCGGTTCAACAATAAATGGTTCAAAAAATGGTCAAAATTGATTGAAAAATATAATATATTATATAACACATGTTAAAAAATATATATAATTTCAATTAATATATATATATACACACACACACACATATGGGGATGGAGAGAGTTGGAGAATACATTACCCGGCCTCGGTTTTCAACATGTCGGAGATCTCCTGACCCGAACCAGATACTCGTTTTTACAGAATCCCTGGACCCGAATGGGACGGGACAAATTAAAAAAAAAACTAAAAATTTACCGATGTTATTTCGAATATTTGAACGGTAGACTCCTTTTTATATTTTAAAATTAAAAAAAAAAAACTTACTTGCTTGAGGATACGCAAGTAATATTCTAGTATGTGAGGAAATAGATAAGAAAGGTGGACGTGCCGGAGTGGTTATCGGGTATGACTAGAAATCATGTGGGCTTTGCCCGCGCAGGTTCGAATCCTGCCGTCCACGATTTTTTTTATATCTTCTCCTTCTTTATTTTATTATTTGGTATTTGGAGTAAATTGACGTTTACTAGTAAAATTCAACACTATCACTTATTTATCGGATTGGGTAAGTGTTTGGTAAAGGGCTCATATTTACGTTTTTTTATGTTCATTATTTAGGGTAATTGACTGAAACATTTTTTTAAAAATAGGCTTGCGGTGGTAGACATTTTCTGACCAAAATATAGAAAAAGAAGTGCAAGAGAACATGTGTCACCATCATAGTAAAACCGCAAGAGCACGTGTCATTATCTCGTAGATTGCAAGTATTGGGAAACCATACTCCACTTCTCTCTCTTTCACTTCTTGGTGGGTAATTAACACAAACTACAACTTGTTGTTTCTCTGCCACGTGTCGAAATCTTGTAGACCGTTCCCGTCCTTGTCCCCATCCCCATCCCCATCCCCATCCCCAGTTTAAGACAAACGGGGATCCCCGTCCACGTTCCCAATTTAGCAGGGAATCCCCGTCCCCGACTGGGGCGGGTGGACCGGTTTCCCTGACAAGTCGGTACCCATTCTCATGCTTAATAAATTGTAGTAGATTATGCACTATCAAAACACATATGYGCATATCCAAATTTAGATGTAGGACCGTCCTTGTGTGACGAGTCTAAATCCTGACTCTCAAATTTGATCAAAAGATGTAAATCAAACCTCAGTTTGTAATGTAKCCTCCGAATTGAATTCTAATACCAAAGAGTGATTGGTAGAACTACACATGGATTACAAGTAAWTCCTAGATCGAAAGTCAGGGTTCAATTCTTACTAAATATGAGTATACGTGACACGTAAATATTTACCATATAAGGGTTTGTTTGGATTGTAGAAATGAAATGGATTTGAAGGGATYTRAATTTCAAATCCATTCCAATCTCATGTTTAGTTTGCAGGATTATTCGRATTGAAATCCATCAAACATAAGATTTTGAAATCCYACGGGGTGRTTGGGATTTCACKGGATCTCGTAGGATTTCCATAGAATAATGTTTTCAAATATGTTTAATACACTTGTTTTCTAATAATTCRTTAATAAAAATGAATTTTAWTTTAWAATTTGTTTTTAGAAATTRTTTACAAAAAATGGAATTCCATTYCATTCCAAATCCATCAAACCAAACACACCAATTGTCCACCRACTACGCMTTTTGGCYTGATCTTAGGCCGTTTACCGGGGCTTCGGTCGTCGGCTCCCCCGTCAATAAAAAAGTCGTCTTATTCAAAACCCCAAGTATGATCCTACTTTTTCAGGGTAAGAAGGGGTAGAGAAAATGCCTCGAGCCAATGCCCGAAAATCTAAGGGTTCCTTTGCAAGGTTCGTCCACGAAGAGTGAGTCAGGGCCTAAGATCAGGCCGCRTAACTTTCATACCAAGGTTAGMACCGTTAATGATATCAACCCATGTATTAAYTAATGAGGAAATTCAAATAAAATATGATCTTGAATTTTTATTTATACACACTTCTTTCTTTTCGGAATCCCTCCAATTCTAAATCCTTCCACGAAATATAAATCCTTCAAAACCATTCCATCAAAACTAAACTCTCCCTAAAAAAAACAGCGAAAGCTTTTTCAGGGGATCAAGCCCAACCGAGCTTTTTTGCTCTGGGCTTTAGCCAAACCTTGAAAAATAGTTGGCCTAATTGGGCCTCAAGGTCCGCTCAGTTTACTAGGCCCGCGATTTCTTGGGTTCGGTTTTGGGCTTAGGTTTTTTTTTCCGCATCTCAAATTTATCGTATATAAATATTATATACTCCAAAGTCCAAACTTAGCTTGTGTAACATTGTGATTTACCTTTCCATGATGACCGGACCGCCCGGGTTTTGCTATTTTCCAAACCAGACCAAACCGYTTAAAACGATCCGGTTTGACTTGGTTYAACCGGTTTAAGCGGTCCAACGRTTTTTTTGAACACCCCTAGTTGAAGGTTGTGCAAGGTAACACAAACCCTTTTCCACAACTAATTGTCACAGGTCTCAAATTCAAAAACCATTAATTATTTAATAAATATAATAAAAATAAATATGACAAATGGTATTTGTTTCATGAATTCAATCAACCATTCATTGAACAATACAACTACATTTGCAATAAATAATCATATGGGATCAAATTTTATACTCTGCATTTGCATCATCCCATATTTCTCTACACATCAATTTCCTATTCAAATTGGAAATTTAAGAAAAATCCCTAAATATAAGATTAAATATGTCTCTTAGTGTAATTAAACCTAATACATATCGGGTACCCGCTTCGACAACCAAGACCCGCCGTAGCCCTATCACAAGAACACAAAAGTTTCAATGTACGAGTTTTAAACGTCACCAAACCAAACGATCCCAATATATCMTGCTTTAGAGCGGGGGTCTAAAGGGTGAGATGTACACAGCCGTGACCTCTCAGAGTAGTATCTCCGGGAAGACTCCCAGATTGTGGAAAAGCGGGAGCAGAAGTTTTAAACGTTTTAAGTTTTAACACAAAATTACAAAACGTACCTTGATCTGAAAAAAGACTGATGACTCGAAATAAAGAATCCGAGCGTGTGCATATGCCGTACCGACCATTAGCGTCTGTATCTACAAGCTGCAGTGCCTAAATCACATAATAAATGGAAAAACGTATTTAAACTCTCTCGTGTGATGGCTGTTTGTCTGTAGATGTACATTCTAATCAAACGAACCCCATCCCATGACTCGAACTCGTGACGTTCAATATTCCAAACATATATGGAAATAGGTATAAACCAAACCAGCCCGATATGTCTCACATTACCCAACCACTAAAAATGGTGGGTCCCTTGAACGCTAAAAAAGAACCCAACTCCAACTTCACACTAAAAACATTTTTAATGATAAAATAATAAATGTATTTATTATTATACTATTTTATTAGCGTATTAAAMTATTAATCTATATATATAATTAGAAAAGTTGAATAAAATATTAATATATATTTTTAGAGCCCTACTTTATTGACCTCAGGCCAACATTTTGGACCTCCATATTTTTAGTGTTGGGATGGAGATGAAAACACTTCCATTTTTGTGTTTTTATTGTTGGGTTGGAGATAATTTAGGTCCCTAACAGAAAAAGCTGTATGTRTGGATTAATCTGTTTGTATAGATTGGGAAGGTTTTTGTTTGGAAGAGTTTTTCATAAATGGAATGAGCATGTTCTTTWATTAGGAAGRGCATGTTCCAAAAACTTGGCTTTCTGCATAAAGCTTCCCCCTAGAAGCTTACGGAATAAGCAACTTTCTATATCATTAAGCCACTAACAAACAGTCATGTATAGCTGACCGAATAAGCTCTGAATCCCATTAAGCTGTTAACAAACAGGCCCTTCCTACTCCGAAAAGCAGAAAAGAAGTCTTCTTTTAGAAGAAGATATAAAACGATGGTGATAACTTGTTATCAAACCACCATTAATCCGTTAAAGAAGCATGCAAGTTTTGGAATATGTTAACAAAGGAGAAGAAAAAAAAACATAAAGGCAAATGTAGAATAGAGGTCCGGGCTTACTTGAGATATTGTTGTCTGATCAAGTTGAACACRAACATATGCATTACCCTTTGCTAACGATATGACATCACTGATGAAACGAAAAAATTTAAAWCAATATCAATGTTTTTTTGGACTAATAAAGGTAAACAAAACGAACCCAGTAAAKCCCATGCATAGATATGGTCAGGGTAGGATGTACCCCAAGGCCCAAGACTAGAGATGCACAAAGAGCCCTAACCTGGGCTCGGCACAAAATAGCCCAGTCCTAGCAAGCGCAAATCCCAGACCCAAGCCAGACCTAAAAGCCTAATAACTCGAATTTTTTCAAAAGCCCAAAACATCCTGTCCTAAAAAGCCCGATTGGGCCTATTTTCACACCCAAAGCCCGGGCCTGAAAAACCCGGATTTTTTTTACTGACATGGGCTTCCAGGCTGTTTGGTTGGTTTTCCATCAAATCCTGTATGGATAAAGCTGTCTATGTGAATTAATCTATTTGTATAGATCGATAAGGTTTTTGTTTGGCATAGTTTTTTCATWGATGGAAGGACCGTGTTTTTTAWWTTGGAGGGGCAGGTATAGGAAAAATTGGCTTTCTGCATAAAGCAGTCCCCTAGAAGCTTACTGAATAAGCAACTATTGTATCAATAAGCCACTACCAAGCAATCATGTATAGTTGATCGAATAAACTGTGAATCCCATTAAGCTCATTAAGCTGCTAACAAACAGGCTCTTAGAAGGCCCGAGCCTAGTGCATCTCTAACCAAGAAGCAGAAAGGTTGGACTAAGAACGGTGAATGTGTAAAAGTTATAAGAAACTACCTTCGGGAGAAAAGATTAAGAAGGGTCCCCTTATCATCCACGATKGGCACCGAGCTTATATGTTCTGAAGAGGATCATGAGGGAGACAATGAGTTATATTTGATACAGAAACACGAAAAAGGCATAGTTTTAGAGATGATATATTCCCTCGGTCCCAAAATAAATGTCCCTAACATAAAAGGCACAGTTTTAAAAATGTGTAATTATTACACTTCCTAATGAACCAAATCACCAATTTACCCGTAATAATAGAGGGAGTGGTGAATTTCTTCATCTGATGATTAAGGGTAGAATTGGAAAAGTAGACACTTACTTTTGAAAGTGTAGAGTTATTTCGGGACAAACTAAAATAAAGATGTGGACATTTATTTTTTAATTAACTAAATCATAATTTTTACCATTAATGATACAAAAAGTAGTCAATTTCTCCATCTCATAATCAAGGGTAGACACTTATTTTTGAAAGTGGACAGTTATTATGGGACAAACTAAAATAAAAATATGGWCATTTACTTTTTAATAATTAAATCACAATTTACCCTTAATAGTAGAAGAGTAGTGAATTTCTCCATCTCATAATTAAGGGCAGAATTGAAAAGCAGACACTTGCTTTTGAAAGTCGACCGTTAGTTTGAGACAAACTAAAATAAAAAGTGGACATTCATTTTCTTAATTAACTAAATCACATTTTTTCCCTTRTTAATAGAAAGAGTTGTGAATTTCTCCATCTCATAACCTGGGGTAGAATTGGAAAGATGACACTTACTTTCGAAAGTGCACCATTATTTTGGGACRAACTAAAATAAAGATATGSACAATTACTTTTTAATCAACTAAATCACAATTTTACCCTTAATAATAGAAAGAGTAGTCAACTTCTCTATCTCATAACTAAGGGTAAATTGGAAAGTAGGCACTTAYTTTCAAAAGTGGAAGTTATTTGGGACAGAGTAAAATAAAAAAATATGGACATTTATTTTTTAGTTAACTAAATCACAATTTTACCCTTAATGATAGAAAGAACAGTGARTTTCTCCATCTGGTAATCAAGGGTAGAATTGGAAAGTAGACACTTACTTTTGAAAGTGGACAGTTAGTTTGGGACAAACWAAACTAGAAACGTTAACGTTTATTTTGAGACAGAGGCATTAGTATTGGTACGTACCATCTAGTAACAATCTATAAGCATCGCTAAGAAGATAATTCGGGGGACATGTTTTTAACTCTCGTGCACCCCCAATYTCTCTAATCCAAGTACCAAGGGGAAGACCACCAATTGATTGTTGTAGAAGAGGCAGATATGCGGTTCGGTGTTCAAAATGTTTGCGTATATCTATAATTTCAAAACGGATATAGATTTAGAACATATGATCAACGAAACTTGCAGTTRTTATTAAAAAGAAAGATAGATACTTGAAGAAATGTACGTTGTAAGAGTCCGCCAAGGCATGCAACGTGAAGCAATTGTGGGCAAGTCGAACCTTGAGCMACATACAGGACGGGAATCGCGGATATGTGATTTTGCAAGATCCTAACCACGACGTTATTGAGGGACTCATCGGGATCAACCTATGTCCACAATGAAAAAAATATATAGTTCTAGATATATGTAACTATTACAATTTTTTAAGTACAGTAATGGTCACTTTGATAAAAGGATGAAAATGCCCTTTGTGTAAATAACATTCTTTTAACAGAGTTAACTAGAGGGACCAATTTCATAGCAAAATGCAAACTTCAGTGGCCATAACTGTAYTTATTGAAGTTTAGGGACTTTGTTCGTAGTTGGGTGTAAACCAYGGGGACGAAAATTGTAGTTTACTCTTCCCTAAATGACATTTTACCCTTAATAATACACTTAGGGACTGTTAGCAGCTTAATGAGCTTAATGGGAATCTACTTCTTTGGTCAGCRATACATGATTGTTTGGTAGTGACTTAATGATATAGAAAGTGGCTTATTCAATAAGCTTCTGGGAGCTTGATGTAGAAAGCCAAGTTTTTTCCAAACCTACCCCTCAATTAAAAAAACACGCTCTTCCCATCTATGAAAAACTCWCGCAAACAAAAACCTTCCCYGTCCATACAGACAGATTAATCTATAAAGACAGCTTTATCCATACAACCACTTGATAACCAACCAAACAGCCTCTTAGAGTAATGAATTTCTCCATAAGGATAGAACTGGAAAGTATGCAGTTTCATGTGCTTACTTGGATTAAAGGTCTTCTTTGGAGTTGAAGCTTTCCTTCTTTCCATGCCGATATTGTAGACAATTGGTGTATGTTGTTAGTGGCCATTGTGCGATTCCTCTGGAGCTGAAATATTAATAATTCGAAAATAAGTGTTCATTTTGATTTGCTATACCCTAAAACCTATTCTCAAGACTTTTTGCAAGTTGGGGGTCTTTATAGAAACAGTCTCTCTACTCCTTGGCGGTAGAGGTAAGTTCTACATACATCCTATCTTCCCAGGACTTTGTGTTTTTTTACCTTTTATTTATGATTACAATTTACATCAGATGGATCATAAGTATATATATATATATATATATATATATTTAGGGTTAGGTTGAGGGGAAAACCACAAAAAAATGAAAAACTGAGTAACACCCTACTAATCGTTCATCTGTAAGTAACTTTTCCAGTATGCACATGTGCATAACATACACGMGTGCATATAAACCAAGAAACATCTTCAATTACTTATATGCACATGTGCATACCGTGTATGAACAGTTACTAGGGTGTTCCTCTGTTTTTCATTTTTTTGGGAGTTTTCCCCTKAACCTYGCTATATATACATATATTCTTTTTCACTATTACAAAGCCATGATAGTAGTAAAAAGTTTACATGCAAATCACCCATGCAATTTACCAAACCAAACGAGCACGATATGTCCCACCCGTGCGGCCCGGGGGGGGGGGTGTACACAGATCTGACCTCTACCCTAAAAATACCCATGCAATTTCTCAAGTGAAAATAATCATATGCCTATCACAAAACCTCTTATTTCAAAATCAGAGACTGTGTTGAGTGTTTTCTTTAATGCCTAGATGTGTTTTCTTCTACYTAAGGTGAAGTAAAATAATTTGTGTTATACCTCCATTAGGATCATGATGAAATCGGATGCCGTTAACATCCCCGAAATCTGTAGATTGGCTGCATCCCAAAGGGGGGCAACAGCAAGTCCCTGAAATAAGAAGACAATTAGAGTTATAGATCGAAATCCAAGAAAGTAGGATCACATAAATCAAGAAAATAAGCAATTTGCTGCCAAAATTGGCTAGCCCGCGATAAATACTGTAACATTTGTCCCACATCAACTTTAAAAATCAAACTAACACAATATATCTCACCGAAAGTAGGGTTTGGGGGGGTGAGAAGTACTCAGACCTAAAGCGGGGGCGAGAAGTACTCAGACCTAAAGCGGGGGCGGACCCACATGGAATGATACGGTGGCACGGGCCACCGCTTCATGGTTCCGTCGTAAGGGGAAAAATTACGTTTTTGAAGGGTGCCACCGTATTGTTTTGTTGGGTGCCACCATATAGTTTTTGAAACTGAAATGTAAAACACAACACTTTAATGGCTAAGATGGTAAATCTCTTGCCTATGTACAAAAGGCCCAGGTTCAAATCCCAWAGTTGTCAAACTTGTTGTTTATTAGCTTAAAATTTTGGTGTTTTTTATACACCTCTTGTATTTTTAAAACATATGTAGACCGGACCCAAACATGGATCTCTTCTATGCAAGRACAAGAAACCAACCAGCAAATMCATCCTAATATYATGAAAGAAAAATTAGATGTTTTTTATAGTCAAATTGTGCCACTACTTGAAAAAATTTATGGGTCCGCCTCTGCCTCAAAGAGTAGAGCAATTGTTTCCATGAAGATCCCTGCCTTGTGCAGTGAACGTGAATTATGGGCTTTTTATAAGCCTTGGGTAGTGGGCTACAGATGACTGCCACTGTGGTTTTAAGCTGACAGTTATTGGGCCAACTTGTTGCGTTCAGTATTACAAATTGTAATGATATAGTGGCAAGTTGTACCTCTTCATGCATAACAAGAAAAGCCTCTTCTACAGTCATATTAGCATCCAATGCGAAGACCTAATGTCAAAGAAGCATTAGAATGATAAAAACTAAAAAGTTAGCTATTACCCTCTTCGTCCCAAAATAWGTATCCATTYTCAAAAGTAAGTGCCTACTTTCCGATTACACCCYTAATTATGAGATGKAGAAATTCATTACTCCGTCTGTTATTATGGGTAAAATTGTCATTTTTAGTTGAAAGTACTRTAATTACACATTTCTAAAATCGTGTGCCTTTTTTATGGTGGACATTTCTTTTGGGACGGAGGGAGTATTATAAATGATTTTATCATGCAAAGATGTAATGGAGGGAGGGCATTCAAACCTTTCCTGAATCGGGAATCAACTCAAATGCTTTGTAAGAAGATAGATGCTTAAACAAGCGACGATGGGTAGTCCCTATGTCATCATCGGTTAACACCAGTTGTGGTTCATTAGGAACACTACCTGATGTTGAAGCCTAACAGGTACGATGAGAAAAACGACAATGTCACTGGAACGAATAGCAAAAACTACAAGAAAGTGTTMTGYGAAAAGGGTATGACRCCACCCTCTGAAGTGCCCCCATCGTACCATCCCACAACTATCACTACAACAAAATCGGGTTTATAGGACGCCAAAAATGTCTTAATAGATTGTTATATAGGACTAAGGGGCTGTTTGGTTGGTTTTCCATTAAGTCTTATATGGATAAAGATGTCTGTGTGCATTAATCTATCCGTATAATCAAAAGGTTTTTGTTTGGGAGGGTTTTTTCATAGATGGAATAAACATGTTTTTAATTGGAGGGGCAGGTTTGGAAAAAACTTGACTTTCTGCATAAAGCTCCCCCTAAAAGCTTATTGAATAAGCCACTTTCTATATCTTGAAGCCACTACCAAACAGTCACTTATAGCTGATTGAATAAGCTGTGAGTCTCATTAAGCTCAGTAAGCTGCTAACAAACAAACTCTAAAAAGTTTATAGCACCAAATAAATGCGTGTTGTATGTAAAAGTGTTACAATAGAATGTTAGGACGTATTTGGGATCCTAACAAGTTTTTAAGGACACTTTTGAAAGAAAAATGTCATTAATTTTTTACATGGTACTTTTGAGAAATGTCTTATGAACACGTCTTCTTATARGACACTTGTTTTTATAAGACACTTTTTCAAATATTATCATGTAAAAAGACTAATAGAACATTTTATTCCAAAAAAAGTGTCCTAAAAAACTTGTTGGGACGCCCAAAAACTATCTATTAACTTATTATAACACATTCACATAGGAGGCACAATTGTTTGATCCTATGAACTTAAGGGGCTGTTTGGTTGTTTTCCATTAAGTCATGTACGGATAAAGTTGTCTGTGTGATGATTAACATGTCTGTACAGATTAGCAAGGTTTTTTCGTAGAAGGAAGGAAAGCGTTTGTTAATTGGGAGGGGAATGTCCCAAAAAAAACTTGGCTTTCTGCATAAAGCCACCTAGAAGCTTACTGAATAAGCCACTTTCTRTATCATTAAACCACTATCAAATAGTCATCTATTGCTGACTRAATAAGCTATGAGTCCTATTAAGCTCATTAAGCTGCTAACAAACAGACCCTAAGTCTCGTAGGGCAGTTTATTAGAACATTTAGMCATTTTTGGCATCCTATAAAACCGATTTTACCGTAATGCATCATGGGGGATGTAAATCACATGCCCCTGGTGCACGTGGGTGGTGGTCTAGAGTCAAACCCCAGATCTCAGCTCGTTCTGCAAGGATGTCAACTTCCTTACCCACTAGGCTAAAGCCACAAAGACTACAAAGAAGTGTTTAATTAGATGCTTACACCATCAGCATGATTTCTATCATCATAACCATCAATCTCCATAACCGGCAAACCATCTTCAACGAGCAATGTTTGAGGCATAATAACCGGTTGTTCCACAAGAATAACATTACTAACACCGTACTCATCTTCAGCAATCGGCTGTCGATCATTGACCCTCCACACACCATCAACCAAGAATTTGAACTTCATCCAACAATTGACACCAAAAACAACATCAAAAAGTTAAAACATCTTCAGCCAAATTAAGTTCTTCCAACATCATTAATAATCTAATTATCATTCACAAACAATTGACATTAAACATCAAACATCAAAAACTTAATTTGATTAGCAGAAACCATGAATGGATTAACATTTTTCAACCAATTTTGACATAATTTTAACTCCATAATACCTTGTGTARACCTGGAGCTAGATCGCAAATCGTCATAAAAGTCGTAGACGAACCTTCAACAGTAACCATCTGCTGATACTTGATCCACCTTCAAGTATAACACACCAATTTGCATTATAAGTTTAGTGTGTGTACTGTGTGTTCCATAAAATCAAAGTCAAAATCAAAATSGAACCCAAATTCAATCAATCGAGCAAAAAAAACAACTTCAATTAGTAAAATTAACAACATACCCAGTGAAATCACCACATAAGAACACTTGATTGCCTCCCTGAGACCAAACGAAGTGAGTATGAACCATCGTTGTGCAAAATCAGCTCGCCCTAAAACCGTAAAGTGTGTGTTTTGTGTGTGAAAAAATAGGGAATCAAAAAAGGATCGAAAAATTAGGGAAAAAGGGTAGGGATTGAAACAAAAATCAAATCTTTATGTGGATCCTGCCGGCGAAACTTATGCATATACATATACGAAATCTGTGCATAATTAGGAAACAGAATTTTGGGGAGCTTAGCCCAATTAGGAAACAGAATCTCCTCGATTTCTCAGAGCTGTAAAACAGCGGAGAAACAATATATATATATATATAAATTTTATATGTCATGTTCTTTCACCATTTTTTCCCCATCCAACCCAATTTTCATTTCAATCTTGTTTTATTTTCAAAACATGAATCCTTTTGAGTTTTTTCTATTAAGTGAGTAAGWGATTGYYTATAAAAATAACTTATTGATTTATTTTGGTGTCATCGGTAATGAACATTTTTTAGTGTTTAGATAAACAGCTTATCTCGATGTCAAACCGGTAATAAAATTTTTTAAAAAAAGTTAAATCACTCTAACTTATAATAAGTTGATAAAGACTTTYGTAGAAAAGAATAAGTTGTTTCAAATAAGCAATTCCATACACCCCCTAAACAGGTGACCGTGTGATGATGGGGTTTCCATTTTRATCTAAAGTCAAGAATGTAAAAATGTCAACCATGTTTTATTTTTATCCATCCTGATGCTAGTTGTATATCAATACAATGTAGCTGAACGTAAATTTTCTGAATAGAGACCTAGTACAAATAGGTTTTTACCAATATATATATATATATATATATATATATATTGATCCATTTTACATTTTTATGTATAATGTGAGATAGAATAAAAAAATAAAATTAATGTTAAGGTTGTGAAAAACATGTTTTTTTTGTGTGAAAATGATTAGCAGATGATGTCTTTACGTAGATCTTACTCATAGTCATCAATTCTAATCTTTCCAAGATTCTTGAAGCTAATCGATGTACAAGCAAGGTGGCCTAGACACCATGGTTAAAATGACAGTGGCCAATTTTATTGTTTTTTAATTGACGAATATAATACAAGTTGGAAATTTTATTCTTGGTTGTTATTATGATTTTGAAGTTGAAGTTTGTGGTTCATCAATAGAGGAATTATTTTCAATGGTTTTCTTAGATGCTAACATTGCACCAGAGGATGAAAATATGCAAAAAAGTGTTTCTCAATAAAGCATAATGATATTTACGGTAAATACTTAAATGTGTGCTTTTGATTTTTAAACATGCCAATACTTTTTCTTATAAAATGGGAACCAAGTCAAAAAAAAAAATAATAATAATAATAATAAATATATATATATATATATATATATATATATATATATATA